TTTCGAAACCAATCCTTCAAGTTACTCCTTTATTCTCTTAAATTTGCTCTTGGATAGTCTCTAAAGACATTTCTAACCTGCCATTCTCTTTACCTCCCAAAGGAACTCTGTAAATCACCGAATTTGGAAAGAGACTGAAAATTTGAGACATCTTGGTTTTGCCCTTGAGGATGGAAGCACAGATCAATATCATCATTATAAGTGTGAGGCACCATGAAGTGATCTATAGGAATCTTTTGACCTCTTTGTAACTTCCTAAAACGAAGGAGATTAAAAACAACTGATTTCATGGTGGCCTCACGCCTGTAATCCTAAGCTACTTCTGGGAGCCGAGGCGGCGTGATTGCACTCAGAGAGTCAGGGAGTTCAAAAACAGCACTGAGCAAGAGCGAGGACCAGTCTCTACTATAAATAGAAAGAAATTAATTGGCCAACTGAAATGTATATTAAAAACAATTAGCCGAGCATATGGTGTGCACCATGCCTGTATCCCAGCTACTCGTGGGAAGGCTGAGGCAAGAAGGATCGCTTCAAGGCCAGGAGTTTGAGGTTGCTGTGAGTAGCGAGCGCCACGGTCCCACTCACTCTAGCACCTGGGCCAACACAAAGCACGAGACATCATGTCTCAAAAAAAACAAAACACACTGGATTCAGCCTCTTCACGAACGGCTTGTGTGAGCGGTGACAGCCAGGGTGGCCGCGAACAAGGTGTACATCAGGCTCCCGGAGCTCAGAATTCTCTACCTGTCATCATCTGAACAGTCTTCTCCACTAGTGGGGAAACCCTCAGATTTTGCATATTAAAAAAGCACCTGGCTCGCTTGAAATAAACCCTTTTCTTGAGAGGTGGTGGGAGCCTTCTCTCCCAGGGCCTTGGGGCAGTGGAAACACCTCTGCTGGCGTACTGGGTCCACCTGGCGCCCTGGATGTGGTGTTGGCATTTCCACTTGGTCTGTATAGCGGAAAGATTTTCCCAGAAAGGCATTTTCTTTTGAAATACATACGGCTGTTTGGACCTAGCCAGCTTCAAACATCAACCTATAGGTAGAGTGGGCGGTACAGGTACAGTCATTTGTGCGGTTGAGGGTGGCTGAGACGAGAGTTTCCAGAGGGTCAATTTACTCTCACGTGTTTCATTGCTGGCTTCTGGCTTTCTGTGGACGCTTGCTTTGTACCTGATTCAGCAAGACTGGAATACATCCTTTTTTATAAATACCGTTCAAATCTTTGGTGAAGGATATAATTTTTGATAGATGATTACAGATTTTCCGTGTATTCTGTCCAGATTAATAAAGACACATGAATTCAGGCTTGGCAGTTTTTTACATGAAAGGCTATTATACAGGTGGTCCCCGGTTACCGCGATCAGATGTCTGCAAGATGTCCCTGAGAACATCTTTAGGTGGATTTGTGTGTAACTTGGATCCCTGCATGAACAGTGCATATATGATAATAATCACAATCCTATAATGGGCTCACATAGTGTGTAATAGGTGCAATACTGAATAATAATAATACCCCTGTACTGTGAATATAAGGTTACAGGAAACTACTGATTGCTTTCTTTAATTCCAGGCTAAATAGGAAATGTTGTCTTATTTTGATCTTCTAGTCCAAATCAACAACCATTCTGTTCCAGTAATTTAATCCACTATGCAGCTTAGTAATATTTGATGCTTTCATTGTGAACTGGCACATTTCAACGTTGTTCCAATATTCTCACACCCACATCATTGTATAATTGTTTCCGACAGTTGAGCGACTGAAGCCTAATGCTTCCCAAATGAGTGATGGCACATGGCCTTTCTCGAATGCTTAATTATTTCTATTCATTTCCACTGTAAATCACCATTTCCCTTCTGCTGCAGCTTACCTTGGACTTGGCAGTGGATTAAGGCTTTGGAGGTATGGTCAAAGGGGAAACAGGGACTCACAAAATCAAATAAAGTTAAGACAAAAGTGATGCTGTGGCAGGTGCAGTGGCTCCACGCTGTACATCTAGCACTCTGGAGGCCGAGGCGGGCGAGGAATCGCTAAACGTCAGGAGTTTAAAAACAGCCTAAGAGCGAGACCTTGTCTCTACTAAAATAGAAGATTGGCTGGGCCAACTAAAATATATAGAAAAAATTAAGCGGGCATGGTGGCGCATGCTGTAGTCCAGCTACTTGGAGAGGCTGAGGCAGAAGGATCGCTTGAGCCAGGAGTTTGAGGTTGCTGTGAGTAAACTGACATCACAGCACTCACTCTAGCCTGGGCCAAGCAAAGTGAGCTCTGTCTCAGAAAAAAACAAAACTAAAAATATATATGCAAAAAAAAATTAGCCGGGCATGGTGGCGCATGCCTGTAGTCCCAGCTACTCGGGAGGCTGAGGCAGTAGGATCGCTGAGCCCAGGAGATTGAGGTTGCTGTGAGCCAGGCTGACACCACGGCACTCACTCTAGCCTGGGGCAACAAAGTGACACTCTGTCTCAAAAAAAAAACAAAAAAAAAAAAACTTATACTAATAAATTAATAAACTCTCATAATAACCCCTACGAGACAGGCATCATCTTTTTTAAAAAACAGCTTCACCAGCTGGGTATGGTGGCTCACACCTGTAATGCTAGCACTCTGGGAGGCTGAGGCAGGCCGATCACTCAAGGTCAGGAGTTCGAGACCAGCCTGGGCAAGAGCGAGACCCCCGTCTCTACTAAAAATAGAAAAAAATTACTTGGACAGCTAAAAATATATATAGAAAAAATTAGCTGGATATAGTGGTACATGCTTGTAGTCCCAGCTACTTGGGAAGCTGAGGCAGAAGGATTGCTTGAGTCCAGGAGTTTGAGGTTGCTGTGAGCTAAGCTGACACCACAGCACTCTAGCCCAGGCAACAGAGTGAGACTCTGTCTCAAAAAAAAAAAAAAAAAGAACTTATTAATAACATTATCGTCACTAAAGTTGGTATACAACCCCCTACTGCTAAAGTTGACTGGCTTTAAAAATATAAAAAATATGAAGGGCAGAATTTTCCCTATTAATAAACGTAACTGTAACAAAAGTCACCAATTATTACTGATATTTCTCACTGAAATCTATATCATATCTATATGATATAGAATTAGACTGTAATGCTCTCAATTCATTTTATTCTTGGACAGGTTGATAATGTAGCCACCTAAAGAAATCCATGACTTTGCAACATAGAGAAATGCACATACTTTCCTCTGGATCTTCACTGGCTGGGATGCTGCTGGAAATTTCCTGGACAGCAGCTCGTGACACAGATGTAGAGCGATGAGGCCCTAGTTGACTGTCCCTTTGGGCTTCCCACTCTTCACTGAAGCCGCCATCATCATTCTCTGGAACAGAAGCTTGTGCCTCCCTTTCTGTACCTTCAAGAGAAAGGGGAAATTACGCTCTAATACTTAGAAAAATTTCTTAATACCTTTAGGAAAATTACACAGATACAGTAACTACCTGTCATTGTATTAATAACTAGGTTAGTTGGCTCTTAAACCACAAAGCTATGGGTTGTAGTAGTGCCTGCTGGTGGCTTCTCCAATTACCATTTTCCTCCTTATTTCCTGAGGCAGAATCCTGATTCATTTGGGTTTCTACCCCTCAACCACATGACTCTAGTGGTAAATCTTGACCAACCCTCAACCACATGACTCTAGTGGTAAATCTTGACCAACCCAAGCCAAGCGTGGTAATCCCACCATTCCTCTTCCCAATGAAAGCTCTAAGGCAATGAAAGCTCTAAGTATGAGCCAATGAGTGGTAAGGAAAGGTCTGCTGGGAATTTTGGAGAAATTTTCTCACTCTTTAGAAAGTGTTCAGGAAGAAACAAACATTTTCTTGCCCTGGATGTTGTCTTATCTCGCCGTATATGATGCCTGGCATGACAGTGGTGACCATGAGAAGCAATGAAGGTGAGGACCAAGCATATATGCTCAAGATGGCAGGGTAGGAAGATGGAAAGAACCTGGGCCCTTGATAACATCAATGAGCTACAAAATTAACCCTATAAATGCCCCGGGACTTCTCATAACATGAGAGAATACATTTCATTCTTTTTTTTTCCTTTTGTTTTTCACGTGGATCAATCAAAATAACTGGACATTTCATTCTTTGTTTAAGGCAACTGAGTTGGGTTTTTCTGTTCTTTGCAGCTAAAAGTTTCCTAACTATTAGCACATATTATTAGCACATACCACTGGCTTGAGTGACTAAATTATAAAAGTGGATTCATTATAGCAGGGGAAGGGAGAAAGGAAGAGGAGTGAATTGCTTTATAGGCTAGTTGCTTTGTTGTAATGTTTGTCAATCTGATTAAAAATGTTACCATGACAGTCTGGAGAAACTGCCATACATTAAAATAGTTAAAATATTAACACATAAATGAAGCTCAAAACACTTTTGTTCTTCCCTTATTTTTTTATAAAAATAATGCATGTTTACAGCAGAAGTAAATTTACTGTGAATAAGTAAGTAAAGCTTGTACACGTCAGGGCTCTTACTTGAATAGATTTCCTTTGGGACAGCCTTAGCAATTTTGTATTGATAGTTTTGTATTCTTTTTCTTAACCAACTCTCCACGAAGCCTGAATCTTCCCTGGTTCAGAGTCTATAAAATCATCTAAGAATAAGACTTACAAATAAAAACAACAGCCCCTATTTGGCCCCATCCCTCCTCACTCCTGATCCTCATTCCTCCTTTCAACTCTTTTATAGCTGTTTCTTTTGGTATTTGCCTCCATAATTAATTAAAATAGCATGCTCATCGTGCTCTGTCTTGATTATTTTAATTTAGGTACTTACTCATTTCCTAGAGGTAAGATGAAGCATCGCCTCTCATCCTCTTATGCATGCACACTCATGAACTCCTACCATCTTCCCAACGTCATCATTTTGTTAAATTCAGCTTTATTAATAATATTATCACTATGAATATAGTATTCACAACCACTTTGCTACAGCCAGAATATACTATAATTACACTTGCTTTTTTGAACAACTTTTTGTTTTCTCTGGATAACTGCCTCATTTTCTCTTGATGGATTCTCTATGTAATACCTATGACTAATTTGTCCTCAAACTCTCTGACAGTTCAAACACATTAGGTAATCTCTCCATTCTGTGATTTTTCCCCCCTTGCACAGATATCCTTGTTGGAGCCCTATGTCCTTTTGTTCCAATCTAACTTCTAGTTTCACCAACACAGTGGTTTTCAACCAAGGATGGCAGTAGGGGGTATTTGGAAATAACTAGTATGGAGGAGTTTTTGGTTATCACAAGGCCTCAGAGCCACTACTGGCATTTAGTGGGTGAGAGGCCAGGGATTCTAAATATCTTGCAATGTGAGGCGAAGTCCCATACCATGAAGAACTGTGCCCCTGAAATACCAGCAGCACTCTCACTGAGGAACTCTGCAGTTCATCCTGCCTTCTCACTTCAAAGCCTTCACCCATGTGTTTCCTCTTCTGGAAAGTTCTTCCTCCACTGCTATTATCACTTCCTCAGAGAAGCCTTCCTTGACTTTCCAGAATACTTAAAATTTCCCTACTATAAATGCAATTATTTATGCAATAATATGTTGGACATCTATCTCCCCAAATATATTATAAGCTCCACAGGGCAGGGCATGTCGTGTTCAGGGCTATATCCCCAGTGTCTGGAAAAGTACTGGGCACACAGGTGCTCAACCAACATTTGTCAAAAGAATAAAATCTTGACATACTAAATACACACTCATACTCATATAAACTCACAGACAATTAACCTTTTAATTTTCTTTAGCTGAACACAGGTTAACACAATAACCAGGCTTGTAGCAATTGTTTCTAATACATTTCCTACTTTCCTACTAGGTCTACTACTGGTCTAACTCTGCCTTGTTCTATTTCCTTGCTCACTGCAGAATGAAGCCTATCTTTGGGTCCCAAATACGAATTCTCAACTCAAAGTGTCCTCCCTGAAGTTACCCAAATGCTAACCCTGCAGTTTTCTTGCTTCTAAAAAACCTCAACTCTCCCTTCCTTGACAAATAGCAACTCAGGACCTTTTTTCCTCACTAATCTTTATTTTTCCTGTTTTTTTTTTTTTTTAGCATCCTCATAAGGTTAGCCCTTTGTTTTGCTTTAAAATTTTTCCTTTCTTCACCATTTATATTATGCTGTTATTCCTCAACTCTTTCTAATAACAACTTCTAATATGTGTTCTTAATATCTTCTGTAATAGCCACAGTGAGGCTTTCACTCTTCTATCCTAAGCCATTACTCTTCTTTTCCAGAAAGTCATATCCACTGGAATAGTTGAGCTTCTCAGTATAAACATTACTACATCTCAAATCAAATTACAGTTAAGTTATTCTGGCCATGTTAGATAAGAGACTCTCATTTTTACATGTTTGGAGAGAGTGGGCTTATTTCTTTCTTTAAAAAATCATAGCCTCGAGCCGGGCGCGGTGGCTCACGCCTGTAATCCTAGCACTCTGGGAGGCTGAGGTGGGCGGATTGCTCGAGGTCAGGAGTTCGAAACCAGCCTGAGCAAGAGCGAGACCCCGTCTCTACTATAAATAGAAAGAAATTAATTGGCCAACTAATATATATATAAAATTAGCCGGGCATGGTGGCGCATGCCTGTAGTCCCAGCTACTCGGGAGGCTGAGGCAGCAGGATTGCTTGAGCCCAGGAGTTTGAGGTTGCTGTGAGCTAGGCTGACGCCACGGCACTCATTCTAGCCTGGGCAACAAGCGAGACTCTGTCTCAAAAAAAAAAAAAAAAAAAAATCATAGCCTCAACAATTTGAACCTTTCCATACTTATATTAGGTATTCAATGGCAGAAATCTCAACCTCAGGTGCCTTGACTGTAATGTTGGGTCTGGAGTATCTGAACTCCTTAAATATTCTGTGTATTTACTGGGCATTACCACATCTTTCAAGAAATTCTCAAAGGAGTAAGAACCAAAGAAAGAGGTTAAAAATCATTGATTGCTTCATAACCCACTGTTAGCCTGTAAGATGACAATGACCATGAAAAAACAGGATATTTCCAAATAAAAGTCACCTACCTTGTGCATTATACTTAGTGTTTTTGGATACCCTCCTTTGGGCTTCTGGGTCTCCTTCTGCCATATTCACCAACCACACCATTGTTGCTGTTGAGAAAGACAAAGTGCTAGGTCAGCACTGGAAACATGGAAGGAAAGTGTATGAATAGACAGTAGTAGTCAGTTACTTCTCTATACAAATCACTAATCTTCTTAATGCTGCTTTAAAAATCCTTAACAATCAGAAATAAATGTATGCTAAAAACAATGATTCTCTTTAATTTTAACAGATAAAAAAATTCTGAAACTGAATGTTTAGTGTAGTGTTTAAATTGCAGCTGCTACCACAAAATTGTTCATTATTGTTTATAGTCCCTAAAAAGTAGCAAGAAGGAAAACCATTCAGGCTAGCAAAACACCACTGGAATAGTAGCTGGACTAGTTCATCAGTGTCCTAAAATAGTGTGACCTCACTGATGAAAATTACTTATTGGAATTAAATTCAAGGACAGATTGGGGTTCACAAAAGCCTTAGAAGATGATTATAATCCTAAAGATGCATGAAGGAAACTTCCTTCATATTATGTCTCACTTTTGGAATGTTCAATGATCCTAAGCCATGTTTTAAATGTGAAGAAGAAAAAAAAAGTTAAAAGTAATAAACATAAAGGGGACTGTCAACTGGCCTTTCTATGTCCCTTATATCGAAATACATATATATCAATATATCTACATAGATCTAGATATACACACATATCTCTAACACATTTTAGTTAAGAGATAATGTGAATACTTTAAAATGGTGCAGGTAAGAATGAAAAATGGAATAATCCCTATTGGAGGGGAAATTGATAACATCTAACAAAACTACATGTTCATTAAACCTTCAACCCACTTTTGGGAATTTATCCTGAAGATACACCAACAATAATACAAAACACATATAAATGTGCCATATGGAGCTATAGTAGGAAGCAATTGCCAGCAGCAACCTCAGTCCAATCTGGTCACAGTAAGCAATTTTAAACAAGATACTTGGTTGGCATCTATGTCTCTCTGGTTTTTTATCACTATAATTGTATAGTTATATCCATGTTCCTAACACTCTCAGGTTTCTTGAAGAAATACACAGCAAAAGAGGTTGAAATTCTGTAATTCACCACAGCCTTGTAATTTTTGAAGTCAAACAAGTTTCATTATACAATAACCCAACTAACTGATCAAAAGTCAACATAAGCCAGAAAGGCAATATACTGTTTAACTAGATCCAAAGAAGAAAAACAGAAGGGCAACCACCACATACACTGTTCACGTACTTCTATACCATTTTCAGCATGTATTTATTTTTCTTTTTTTATGCAAGTATAAACAAATATACTTTCTATTTTAGTACTGAATATTACCATGAAAATAAGGGGTCAGATAACTTTTTCTGTAAAGGACCAGAGATTAAACAATGCAGGCTTTGTTAGCCACATATACTTACCTGTTCTTTTAAACAACATTTTAAAAATGTAAAAACAATTCTTAGCTCATAGGCTGTACAAAAACAGGCCATGGGGCCAGGCTCAGTGGCTCAAGCCTGTAATCCCAACACTTTAGAAGGCCAAAGTGGGACTATTACTTGAGGTCTGGAGTTGGAGACCAGCCAACTGGCCAACTAGTAAGACCCCATCTCTACAAAAAATGAGCTGGGTGTGGTGGAGCATGCCTATAGTCCCAGCTACTCAGGAGGCTGAGGCAGGAGGATCGCTTGAGCCCAGGAGTTGGAGGCTGTAGTGAGCTATGATGACGCTACTGCACCCCATCCTGGGCAAAATCAGACCTTGTGTCCAAAAAACCAAAACAATACAAACAAAACAAAACAAAAACAGGTCATGGACCACATTTGGCTGTAGGCAGTAATTTGGTGACCCCGATGTGATTATCATACATTATATATTTGTTGAATGAATTAATAATACTAAAATAATATCCAATAAACCACTTTTCTATCACCAAACATCTTAGCTCAATAGGAAAATACGCAATTTTAAAAATTTACCTAATATAGAGTTCGAAACCAGCCTGAGCAAGAGCAAGACCCCGTCTCTACTATAAATAGAAATAAATTAATTGGCCAACTAATATATATATAAAATTAGCCGGGCATGGTGGCGCATGCCTGTAGTCCCAGCTACTCGGGAGGCTGAGGCAGCAGGATTGCTTGAGCCCAGGAGTTTGAAGTTGCTGTGAGCTAGGCTGATGCCACGGCACTCTAGCCCGGGCAACAGAGTGAGACTCTGTCTCAAAAAAAAAAAAAAAAAATTTACCTAATATAAAACCCCACAAACTGATATGAAACCAAAGGAACGCTTTACATAAAATGATCTATCTCAAGGAATTGTTAGCTTCATTTTTAGATAAACTCCCTGAGTAGACCATCTCTGCTAATGACTATGAGGGAAGAATGAGTTAGTTCAAAGAGTAGGTGTACATTTTCCCTGAGATGATTGGATAAAAAACAAACTTGCTCATACATTTCCTGAGGATAAGACCTTTTGAAAACTGAATACCCTTAACTGGGTGAGAGTATAAAAACGCACAAAAGGATTGTATTTTTTTTTTTTTTTTTTTTTTGAGACAGAGTCTCGCTTTGTTGTCCAGGCTAGAGTGAGTGCCGTGGCGTCAGCCTAGCTCACAGCAACCTCAAACTCCTGGGCTCGAGTGATCCTCCTGCCTCAGCCTCCCGAGTAGCTGGGACTACAGGCATGCACCACCATGCCCAGCTAATTTTTTCTCTATATATCAGTTGGCCAATTAATTTCTTTCTATTTATAGTAGAGACGGGGTCTCGCTCTTGCTCAGGCTGGTTTTGAACTCCTGACCTTGAGCAATCCGCCCGCCTCGGCCTCCCAAGAGCTAGGATTACAGGCGTGAGCCACAGCGCCCGGCCAAAAGGATTGTATTTTTAAAGAATAAATAAGACTGACTTTCATATTCATGTTTACATCCACTTCAGGGGAAAAGTACTGATTAGTGTTACTGTTTTCTTACATTCTGTTAAAACACTAATCCATACTTTTTCACTAAAGTGGATATAAACATCAGAATTTTGTATAAACAAACACGTCTACACATAACAGCCCTCTTCCCCATTGTCTTCCAAAGGATATTGCATGTACTGCTTTAACTCCTGCTTTTTTTTTTTTTTTTTTTTTTTGAGACAGAGTCTCACTCTGTTGCCCGGGCTAGAGTGCCGTGGCATCAGCCTAGCTCACAGCAACCTCAAATTCCTGGGCTTCAGCGATCCTCCTGCCTCAGCCTCCAGAGTAGCTGGGACTACAGGCATGTGCCACCATGCCCAGCTAATTTTTTCTATATATTTTTAGTTGGCCAATTAATTTTCTTTCTATTTTTTGTAGAGATGGGGTCTCGCTCTTGCTCAGTGCTGGTCTCAAACTCCTGACTTTGAGCAATACTCCCGCCTCCACCTCCCAGAGAGCTAGGATTATAGGCGTGAGCCACTGTGCCCGGCCTAAATCTTGCTTTTATATTTAATATATATAAATTTGGACATTTAAAAAATAGTTGGACATTCAGATCTCGCAAACTTAAGGAAAAAGAAAAAAAAATAGTTGGACATATACAGAGTACCCCATTCTTTTTGATGGCTGCACAATGATCCATTGTATGAATGTGCCATAATTATTTGAAAGTGCCCCCTTCTGATGGACACTCTGGTTACTTCAAGTTTTTCCCAAGTACAAGCATTGTTTCAGTGAACATACTTCCATACTTCTGCAAGTATATTCCTTAGTCTAAATTTCTAGCATTCACTATTAACATTTATTTCATGTAACATTTTGTGGGCACAAATATAAATTACATAAGTAGATTTTAATTTCCAGATACAACATGGAAGAAGCTCACACTCAAAAGTTCACCAAAAGAAGAATGTTGATGCTCAAAACTTCATCTGCTCTTTTCTGCCAATAAACACAGTAAGCACTTGATAATAGATTTATGTTGGAAATAGAGTAAAAGATCCTTGCATTCCAGACAGCTGTTCTAAAACTTTACCAATCTTCTCCAACTATGGGCATAACTCCCTATCTCTTCCACTTTCTACAAATGACTAACATCTGGTTTACCAGAAAGACTGAGGTCAACTAACATGGGAGCCCAAATTTGGAGCCCAAATTTACCTTCTTCAATATTTCACTATATTTCGCTCTTTTGTGCTTTTCTGTCTTCCTTTTCCTTCCTTTCAGGTATTTCCCTATTCTAGGCCTAACTCTGCTTCCTGAACTTTTAAAGCAGTTTCTACCTGCTTTGTAGATAATCTTGTTCTGCCTGTAAGATATTTTTTGAGACAAGATCTTGCTCTGTTGCCCAGGCTAGAGTGCAGTAGTGTGATCATAGCTCAATGCAGCCTTAAACTCCTGGGCTCAAGTGGTCCTCCTGCCTCAGCCTCTGAAATAGCTGGGATTACAGGCCCATGCTACCACGCTTGGCTAATTTTTCTAATTTTTATTTTTTTTGTAGAGACAGGGTCTCGCTATCTTGCTCAGGTTGCTCTCAAACTCCTTGGCCTTAAGCAATCCTTTTGCCTCAGACTCCCCAAAAGCTGGGATTACTGGTGTGAGCCACTAGGCCCAGCTGCGACAGCAATCTTTGACATAGTGGGTGGCATTTACTATACCTCTCTTTCACCACCTATTCTCTGCCTACATGATCACTTCCACTGCCAGCATCAGCAAAACACAGATACACACACACATCTTCTTCCCTGTGGAATACTGTTTATAGAAGTTGCTCTCTTCAATGTCACTAATGATGTCTTAGGCACCAACTCCTGTGTGGTTTACTTAGTCCCCATTTTCTTCGACAACTTTTTTCTTTTTAAAAAAACAGGGTCTCACCTAGGCTGGAGTGTAGTGGCGTGATCATAGCTTACTGCAGCCTCCAACTCCTGGGTCAAGCGATCCTCCTGCCTCAGCCTCCCAAAGTGTTGGGATTCCAGGTGTAAAACATCCATGTCTGGCCTCTCTTCTACTTTTATTTGAATCACTCACACACTCTCAGAGCTTAACTATCACTTCTATGCTGATGCTCCTCAACTATGCATCTCTAGTATCAGCCTTTTCCCAAGCACTAGTACTTCATTTCTAAACTCCTGCTGGAAATTTCTACCTGAATGGCCCACAGGTACCATAAACTAAATTAGATATGGACCACAAAATATATATAACTAAACAGATCCCTCAAAGAAGAAAACATTTTTTCTTCATCATTTTTCCTTCAGGCTTAAAACTCTATCTTCAGTTGCTAAGAACTACTGATTCTACTTCTGAAATCTCTCATTAAGCCCTTCTCTTGATTGCTACTGACAATGCCATAACTCAGACTCCATTTTCCACCTAGATCATGGCAATATCATCTTAGTATGCTTCCCATGATCTCGGCATCCACTCTCTCCAATTCATCTTACACACCGCTGCCAGCTTGCAAAGGCATAGCTCTGATCACGTGATTCTTCTCCTCAAGAACCTTCTGATTCCCCAGGGATCACTGAACAGCACACAGATACCTAAACCAATCACTCCTTAGGATCCTTGATCTAGCCCTAATCTGCCTTCCCAAACCCAACTCCTAGTATTCTCCCCACTTCATTCTCCATGTTGTAGTCAAATTGAATAACTGAAATTTGATAAAGATGCTTCACACTTTATAACTCCAAGCCATTTTTTTGTGATGAACTCACTTTTGGAGTCAACTATTCCATCTCTACTTACGAAATCCCATCCACCCTTAAAAGTTTCAAACTAAATGCTGCCTCTTCCACCAAGCCTTCTCTGACTCCCCACCCATATTTTCCCTTTTTTGAACTCTCTCTGTACTCTGATTGTACCTCTTGTAAATATGATAACACTCTGCCTCGGATGTTGCTTTTTTATATACTTGTCTTACCTCACCTCTAAATTGTAAGCAAATGAGCTCTGAGAGAAGGCATAGTATCTTAACCATCTTTTTTGGTTTTCCACAGCACAGATAAGGTTGATGCTCAATCAATATTTACTGAATGATTAGGAAGGGTATAACTCTAAAACAAAAAAGAGCAAACACATTCTGAAGGAACAGTACAATTCTTTCAGTAAGCTAGGGTAAGATTCACCTGTAATATATATGTATACATAAATGTTCAATAACTCGAGACTAGCAAGTTTTTAAATGGAAATACTGGCTCTCCAACCTTTCAATATTTCCTTTCTTTCCACTCATACTGGAAACTCTCTTGAATCGACATCAGGTAAAAGACAATGGTTTGCAAGAAAAAGAGATCTGCAGGAGTTCCATTAATGCTGTGCATTTAAGATGAGAAAAAAGTACCATGATAATGACCATAAGTACATGTGTTGAAGTTCCTATAAATTCTAAGCTAATTATTAATTCAATATCATTCTTAATACTTACAGGAGTAAATGAGAGCTGGAAATAGAGTTTCATTTCTTTCCTGAGCTGTTTCCACCAGCATACGAAGTGGACCTTTTGGACACAAAACAGCCACTAAATCTAGAAAGAGAAAAATACAAAAGGCCTCTGTTAAAATATATAGGCTAAACTTGTAAATGGGGGTGTTAGGAAGGAATTAACCAAAGGAAAAGGTTAATTTTTTGTTTTCATTTACACAAAAGATGTTGAATGAATATGAAATAAATAGCAGGTGAACTGGTGGAGGAAAAACAACCTAAACAAAACCACACAGAAGAGCTCTAACAATTTCATTTTGGGTTTGACTGCTATTTGCTTAGTCTACAGCATATCATTACTGGATTCTAGGAATAAATCTTCCCAGTTTGAAGGAAAGAGGCAGAGATAACAAGACATACTATTCTAGGGCAGTTGTTAATCTATAACAAGCAGAAATGAGGACAAGTCACTTCCAAACAAATCACAACTATGAGCTACAAATAGAAGCTTTACTCCGAGAGAAATTTAATTGAGGGGATTTGACTGAACTTGTCAAAACATGAAAAGTACAATAGAAAAGACTCATCTCCTCTTTTTAAAAATAGTGTTATGTAGATAATTGAAATAAGAAGACAAGGCCGGGCGCGGTGGCTCACGCTTGTAATCCTAGCACTCTGGGAGGCCGAGGTGGGCGGATTGCTCAAGGTCAGGAGTTCAAAACCAGCCTGAGCGAGAGCGAGACCCCGTCTCTACTATAAATAGAAAGAAATTAATTGGCCAACTGATATATAGAGAAAAAATTAGCTGGGCATGGTGGCGCATGCCTGTAGTCCCAGCTACTCGGGAGGCTGAGGCAGTAGGATCGCTGAGCCCCGGAGACTGAGGTTGCTGTGAGCCAGGCTGATGCCACGGCACTCACTCTAGCTTGGGCAACAAAGTGAGACTCTGTCTCAAAAAAAAAAAAAAAAAAAAAATTCAGAGAGGAAGCAACATGCCTAAATTTTTCCTGATTACACCATTATTCTTTTCATCAACTGCAATTTTTTTTTCATTTTCTGTGTCATGAAAATTCAGAATATAGAAATATTAAAAAATTTCAAACATTTAAAAATATAAAACAGGTATAGCTGAATTTGTAAAGGAAGAATTGATAGCTTGTGTTGACATTACTGTCATTTAAATGCATTTAAATAAAAAAAATTCATTCCTTGAAGTGGTCAGGTCTCCTTGTATAACAGTATAACTACAGTAATAAAACACATACACACTTATACACACAAAGAAATCTCTATTCTTGCCCCTTCACACTTCAATTTGTTTGAGTAAGAAAAGGGAAATTCTATCTTGCTCCAAAATAATTTTGGGATTTTCAGCTTGTTTGAAGCTGCCACATCCTGTAACTATTTTGGTTTTATGATGAGTTCTCCCTAATAGAATCGCTAGATTATAAACTCACTTATTTTTAAAGCAATTAAAGTGAATTAAAATTAACTTTGCTTTGAAAATTTCCAGAACAATCTTTGTAACAAATTACAGCATCTTGAGACCTTATAAAAACAAAGTTGAGAATCACTACTCTAAATATTACATACAAACATCTCTTAAAGGAACTCAAAGCTCTGTAGAAATAATCATTTGTTTATGTGCAGACAAAATAGAGGGTTGATGGCAGAAATAGTATAATATGGGGGAAAGAATATTAGACTTGGGATTTCAGATTCTAGATCAAACAGTTTATGCTTAGGCAAATAATTCACCTCTAAAAAACTCCCACATTTCTTAGCAGTAAAATAGGGATAATAACTGCCTTCATCACTTCACAGAATTATATAAAAAATAACAACATTTACTGACAGATACTGCTCTAAGCGTATTAGTGCATTATATGTAACACATAATTTAATCTACACAGTAACTAAGACTTAGGGGTTGAGTTTTCTGTATGTGGTCAAACACATACAGAAAGTGATGAGTAGAAGAATCTAGATTTGAACCCAGGCATTCTGTCTCCAGAACTGGCATTATCAATCACAGCTAAGCAATAAGAGATGAGTACTTTGCAAACCATCAAGTACTTTCTAACATAAGGTCATTATGAAGCCAGGCATAGCAACTATATGAATTCTATAGTTCCATGACAGATTATTCAAATACAAGAATAGAATCAGTTCAATTCTATTTCCACAGACTGTTTTTTCGTCAAATTGGGATGATGGGGTTTCCTAGTACAGGCAACCAGATATTTTAATAAGTATTTGAAGAGTGATAAAAGAGTATGGCCTTATAATACAGAAACTACATACTGACCTCTGAAATCAGATCTCTTTTTGGCTTTCAGGCAGGGCAACAGCCACAGAATATGTACCTGTACAGCTGCTTCAGTTATTTATGCTGGAGTACATTCTGACTGTTCAGGACTCATGTCGCACTGGTTGTTACAGAACTTGAATCTCACACTGCCTAAATAAGCCTAATTTTTAAGAGTAATTCTACTTAAGTTACCTTATAAAAAGTAGGCAACCTCATTTTGATTTTAAAAATGAACTGAGCAATTTACGTATCAAGCACTCTGCTTGTTCTTTTAAACATACATTCAATTCATAAACTCTTACAACCCAGAGAAGCATTGTTGCCAATTTACAAATGAGGAAACTGCAGCTCAAAGAGCCTGAGTCACTTTCCTAAGGCCATAAAGACTGTATATGTTACAGATGGGATTTGAATCTAAGTCTTCTGACTGGAAGTTCATAGTTCCTTCGATCAACCCATCACCAAACTAAACTGGAGGTAGTAAAAAATCATTTAAAAAAAACTCAACTTCTCTTTATATGAAAAAGATACTATAATTACTTCTTGGCCTTTAGGCTAAGATCAAGTGAAAAGATATTGTAGCTAATTAGTTATTTACTGAAGAGCAATAGGCTATAAATGTTATGATTTTCCCTAAGTCAAGATAATTAGATGAGGAAGAACAACATGCCAGTGGGGCATTTCTGTAATGAACAAATTTAGTCTTGGGTTTTACCATATACTGAGATTACAGCCAAGATGAGCCACGCAGTCCATTCAGGGAGGTACTTGATAAACACCAGGGCCATGAGGGCACTAATCATAATGAGATATGCCTGCTGGAGTCGAAGTGGACCTTTCCAGTGAATGGAAATCATTCCCACCACACCAAAATTCCAGATCAGGAGCGCAACAGTAATGTAGTCCACAGCAACATTATAGGTTTTAAACACTTCTCTGAAAAAAATTAAACAGATTTTAAAAGATTTATGTATAATATATATATATATATATTTTTTTTTTTTTTTAAAGAGATAGGGTCTTGGCCACGCGTGGTGGTTCATGCCTGTAACCTAGCACTCTGGGAGGCCAAGGCAGGTGGATCATTTGAGCTCAGGAGTTCAAGACCAGCCTGAGCAAGAGCGAGACTCTGTCTCTACTAAAAAACTAGAAAGAAATTAGCTGGACAAAAAAAAAAAAATTATATATATATATTATATTAGCCAGGCATGGTGGTACATGCCTGTAGTCCCAGCTACTCAGGAGGCTGAGGCAGGAGGATCACTTGAGCCCAGGAGTTTGAGGTTGCCGTGAGCTAGGTTGATGCTACGGCACTCTAGCCCAGGCAACAGAGACTATGTCTCAAGAAAAACCAAAAAAACAAAGAGGGTCTCACTCTGTCACCTAGGCTGGAGTACAGTGGCATGATCACAGCTCACCATAATCTCGACCTCCCGGGCTCAAGCAATCCTCCTGCTTTGGTCTCCCAAAGTGCTGGGATTACGGGCCTGAGGCACAGCATCCAGTCTTATGTATGATAACTTTCATCACAACATTGTTTAGAATGATGGTTCCCAAATATTGATATTTATATCCTGCCTTTATAATTTTACTACAGCCTACATAAATTGTGCTTGATATAGGATAAACATTTCTTTAAATTAATTCCCTCTTTTCCTCAAGTTGAGCTTATTTTAACAGGAAGCTCTTTATCATTCATATAAATGGGAAATCAGTATCACAAGCCATAGCTATAAAGATAAGTATGAAAACTGAAAAAGGCCATATGCCATCTAAAATACCACATTATGCTTTGGGAAATACATTTAAAATATCTGAAATTAGAAGTAATTAAACATGCACCAAAAAATTTTATAGGTAGGACATAAATTTTCACACAATGAAATTTAGCAGTGATTAATATATATATATATTTTACACACACATAAACATGGAATATAGGCATAACACAATGCTGCTTGAAAAAAATATGATCTTATTTATATAAAATACTATAAGAGTGGGCAAGAAATTGATGTATTAATTCCTAAAAGATGACAGGACTTGTCTTTAGGTGGTGAGAGTCTAGTCATTTTTCACTTTTTTGTAATTTTTTTTTTTTTGAGACAGAGTCTCACTTTGTTGCCTGGGCTAGAGTGCCGTGGTGTCAGCCTAGCTCACAGCACAGTCAAATTCCTGGGCTCAAGTGATCCTCCTGCCTCAGCCTCCCAAGTAGCTGGGACTACAGGCATGCGCCACCATGCCCAGATAATTTTATATATATATGTTGTCCAGCTGATTGCTTTCTATTTTTAGTAGAGATGGGGTCTCACTGTTGCTCAGGCTGGTCTTGAACTCCCGAACTTGCGCAATCCTCCCGCCTCGACCTTCCAGAGTGCTAGGATTACTACAGGTGTGAACCACCACGCCCGGCCTCTTTTTTATTATCTTATATGATATCTTTTTTTTTTTTTTTTTGGTAAAAAAACAAAAACAATGAACATCTAGTGTTCTATTTTAATTTTGAGGGAAAAAAATCCCCCATCTAAAAAGAAAGAGGCTGCAACTATAGAAGATGCCCTAAGTAACTGAGGAGAAAGCAACCACTCCTTTATTTAAGTATAAAAACTTTGGGTTACTGGTACTATTCCAGGACGATGATTCTTCTCCCATTTTGAAATCCAAAATGAAGTAAATAATCACATTTATGGACAATGTAGATATTTGTATTAAGCATTTCAGATATCCTAGAACTCAAAAAATACTTATTAATCTTTGCCTAGGCAATATATGATAAGATTTAAAATTCACAATAGATACTGTGAAAAGTTTTCCTCCCCATTCTGTCCCACAGTTCCCCTCTACTAGAGGAAAGCACTATTACTGATTTCATGTGTATCCCTCCAGAGAGAGTTTATAACATATCATAGACACAAATGATAGCATACTATATACAAATATAGCATACTATATTCTGTACCAGGTTTTTTTTCCTTACTAATACAATGGAGAATTTTCTACACCAGTATCCAGTGTATCAGAGCTACCCCATTCTTTTTAATGGCTATTTTAATTTTTTTTAGATACAGAGTCTCACTATGTTGCCCAGGCTGGATTCAAACTCCTGGGCTCAAGCAATCCTCCCACCTCAGCCTTCCGAACAGTAGGGACTATAGGTGTGCGCCACCAAGCCCAGCTTATAATGACTTTCTTTATGGACGTACCATAATTTATTTAACCAATTTTCTATTGATGGATATATAGACTGATTCTATTCTTTTGCTATTAGAAACAATACTGTAATGATTATCCCTGTAATTTACTAGGTTCAGGACATATGCATCTAATATTTTAATGGATTTGTCAAACTGGTCTTAATAAAAAGTTATATATCAACGTGTACACATTTATTTCCCTGCATCTTTGCCAGGATATTATCAAATTATTTGATCTTTGTTAACTTAATATATAGCCTTAATTATTATAGTATTAATCTTATGAGGAGGGTGTATGTGTTTCCTTTCTTTGAGACAGGGTCTCTCCTTGTGACCCAGGCTAGAGAGTACAGTGGTGTCATCATAGCTCACTGCAACCACCAACTCCTGAGCTGAAGCTATCCTCCTGCCTCAATCTCCCCAGTAGCTGGGACTACAGGCTTGTTCCACCCACCACACCTAGCTAATTTTTCCTTATTGTATTTTATTTTTTTTAATAGAGAGGGTGGTCTCACTCTTGCTTAAGCTGGTCAGGAACTCTTAGCCTCAAGCAATCCTCCTATCTCGGCCTCCCTAAGTGCTAGTACCTAGCCCATTCTTAAATTTTCTTATTTAATAATAATTTGTGTTTCTCTGTTAACTATAACTTTCTGTTACATCTTTTGTCCATTTTTTGGTTAGGCTGTTGATCTTATTTTCATGTAGAGGTTCTTTACGTATAAAGTAAATGAGTGTTTGTCTATGAAATGAGTGGAAGATATGTTTAGGGGTTTGTCATTCATCCTTTGATTTTGTTCATGGTGTGATTTTTTTTGTTTGTTTTTTGCCTTTCAGAATTTTTTTTAAATGGAGATGAATTTATCAATCTTTTCTGTGCCTAGGGTTTGTATCATACTTAAAAGGTCCTTCCTTACTGTAGTATTATTATAATATTCCCTCTTCACCATATTTTCCTCTAGTTAATAGTTCTAATTTCATATTTAGATCTTAAATCCATTTGGAACTCACACCAGTATAGATATAAGGAAGGAATACAAATTTTTCCCCCAAATGACTACCTAATTATCCTAACATCAATTACTAAATAATCCATCTATAGTCTACTAATATTAAATTTAGTTTATGATAAACTAAATTTTGTCATATATTTGAGCATTTTTCTACACTTTCTAATCCTTTCTGTAGGTCTTACTATTTTAATTATTGTAAGCTTTATAATTTCATATCAGGTAGGCCTAGTAGTCTTTCATTTCTCTTCTTTTTGTGGATATCCTCATTTATTTTTCCAAATAAACTTTAGAATCTTCTTATCTAGATTAAAAATAACAATTGGGCTTATATTAAGTATTAGAATAGCCAGGGGTAGTGGCTCATGCCTATAATCCCAGTACTTTGGAAGGCCGAGGCAGGAGGACTGCTGGAGGCCAGGCTGTTTGAGACCTTCCTGAGCAACAGAGAGACCCTACCTCTACAAAAAAGAGAAAAATTAGCTGGGCATGGTGGCATGTGCCTGTAATTCCAGCTACTTGGGAGGCTGAGGTAGGAGGATCTCCTGAGCCCAAGACTTTGAGGTTGCTGTGAGCTGTGACGACACCACTGACCTCTATTCTACCCAGGTGACAGAGTGAAACTGTCTCAAAAACAAACAAACAAAAATAAAACTTAAGATTTCTTGGGAGTATACCTACAAACAAAAAGTGTTTTCTTTATATTATATAGTGAGACCAAAGGATACATTTTTCAGGCCGGGCGCTGTGGGCTCTTTTGTCCTTGTTTTCCTAGTTTTGTTTTTGGGAGGCTCGAGGCGGCAGATTGTATATTTTGTGTCAGCGAGTTCAAAGACCAGCTTCTGAGCAAGAGCTGAGACCCCTGTTTTCTTCTACTATACACATAGAAAGAAATTATGTCCAATGTTTTTTTCTTATATAATATATAAAAAATTAGCCGGCAATGGGTGGCGCATGCCTGTAGTCCAGGCTACTCGGGGGAGGCTGGGAGGCAGAAGGATTCTTTGAGCGCCTGTGAGTTGGAGGTTGCTGTGGAAGCTATGTGCTGACGGGCCATGGCAATCACTCTAGCCTGGACAACTTGGTGAGGACTCTGGTCTCTTAAAAAAAAAAAAAAAAAAAGGATACATTTTTCATTTTAAAAAATCCTATACTATTTACATGAGAAAAGATGCATATCCATATTATATTATGGATAATATAAATTGATAATAAAAATCTTCAAGCAGATAAATAGGTAAAGGACAAAGATAGAATTTATATAAGAAAATATAATGAATATGTAAAAATACTCATGTTAACTAGTTATCAAAAATACATAGTAAGGCCAGGCGTGGTGGCTCACATCTATAATCCTAGCACTCTGGGAGGCCAAGGCAGGAAGATTGCTTGAGGTCAGGAGTTTGATACCAGCCTGAGCGAGACCCAGTCTCTACCAAAAATAGAAAAATTAGCCAGGTGTGGTGGTACTGCAGTCCCAGCCTCCCAACTCAGGAGGCTGAGGCAGGAGGATTGCTTGAGCCCAGGAGTTTGATGTTGCAGTGAGCTACAATGTTGCTGCACTCTAGCCTGGGCAACAGAGCAAGACCCTGTCTTAAAAGAAAAAAAATTAAAAATTAAAAAAAAACAAAAAACCCTTAGACAGAACTGATGTCTTATGACACATGTATTATGTCTATGTAACCTCGTATAATTTTCCATTTGTTTAAGTTTTCTTTTTAAGCCCTTTAGAGGCACTGAATATTTCTTATTAATAGATCTTATATAATTCTTCTTTAATCCTATATATGTTATCTATTTTGCTGTCGTCATAAACAAGATTTTTCCTTTCAATATGTCTTTAGAACTAGCTATTTATGTGAAGACTACTGATTTGTGTTTAATTTTGTATTCAACCGTTTTACCAAATTTACTTAGTGATTCTAATTGTTTTTTGGTTAGATCTGAAACAAGGCAATCATTTTATGTCCAAATAATTGACAATTTAACCTTCTTCTCCAAATTATATAGCTCTTATTTCTTTCTCTCATTTAATTGTATTTGCTAGTCCCTCCACTGCAATGTTAGACAATAGTGGTAATAAAGAAAACCCTCACCTTGTTCCTGACCTTAATATGTAAGCTTTTAAAGTTTCCCTATCAGGATGATATTGGCTTTCAGAATAAGAGTCACACCTTTTTTCATGTTAGAGAAGTAACCAGCTATTTTTTTTATTAAGGAACTTGGTCAAGAACAGGTGTTGAATTTTTTTTTTTACGTTTTACTTCCCTATCTTAATGGGAAGTTGAATTTTATCAAATGCCTTTTAACATGTACAGAGATGATGATCTAACAAAGTGGTGACTTATACTGAGAGTTCCTAATAATGAACCAGTCTTCCATTCTGCAAATAAACTCCACTTGGTCATAATCTATTATTCTTTTAATTTATTGCTGAATTCTATTAATATTTAATTATTCCTTGATATTGACAAGTAGGATTGGTCTACAGTTTTCTTCTTGATACTTGTAGAGTTTAGTTATTAATGTTATGTAGGCCTCATAAAATGAATCTGAAAGCTTTTCTTCTTTTTCTACATTCTGAAACAGGTGAAATAGTATTAGAGTTATCCATTCCTTAAAGGTTTTAACAGAATTTCCCTATGAAATCAGTGGGGCCTGGTACTGTTGTTGATATTAGTAGAGGTAGAATAGAAACTTCTTCAGCAAACTTCTGTATTTTTTCTTTGCTCTATTTTTTTAAATTAATTAATTAATTAATTAATTAATTTTCTTACAAGCCACACCAACGGACTTTGCTCTGTTTAGATTTTCCCTCTTCAGTGGTCAGTCTTGGTAATTAATTTTTTTCCTAGAATATCATCCATTTCACACAGAATCTCACATTTGCTTTTTTTGTCTGTGGTTATTCCTCCCTACCCCTACCAAGGAAATAACTCTTCAATTTATTTATTAGTTTTACTACCTCTTCCTAATTTAAGAGCTAGTACAATGGTTTACAATTTAGCCCCTGGGGGTGAAAGAAAGAGCAGGATGGCAAATCTCTGAGTTTTGCTATTCTTTTCAACAAAGTATTTTCGCTTTTTTCTACAATGTATGTGAAAATTTCACGTAAGATTTCATATGAAAGAAAAAAAATCACTGATAAAAAGAACATAAAAGTGTGAAAATAAATTCATGTTTACATACATTTTTGAAATCCTTTCTTAACATTCTCATTCATAGATTTCTACTAGAAGAATACACAACCTTGAAAAAGGCTTAGAATTAACTACATTCTTGAGTTCTTTTCAAGTCTACCTATTATAAGGAAGAACAAAAGAATACCTCATCAGTAATACTGACCTGTCTTTTGGATTCCAAGTCTGACCTATTATGTAGAAACAATTATAACTTTAGAGTAATTCATCAACAAAATATATGACTTTAAGTGACAGTTATGGAGCACGGATACAGTCAATTTCTGAATGGTAGACCAATCACAACTTACCCCAAGTAAATGAAGGAAAAAAAGAACAGCAACAATAGAGATGATATGATCAGCCAGGCATGGATGACCTAGAAAAGAAAGCATTTCAATATAATAAACAGGTTCCACAACCCTTAAAAAGTACAATATTTTTATCCCCAAAATAGTCTATCTGTAAATGTTATGCTTTTAAAATATCAGAACAAATAGCTTTGGGATATTTACATATTTATATGGAACTCTTTGGTACTGACTTACCCATAATATAAAATAGAAACTTAAACAAGACATATATAAACTTTTCAAAATAGGTGAAATTTTTAAAAAGGAAAGAATGTACTCTAAAATATCAAATTATCAACAGGTAACATGTAAGGTTTAAAGTAGAAATATTTTCAATGGAGTAATCTTATAGTGTTTCTGAAATAACAAAAATAATTGAAAATCAGATATTTAATTAAGTGATCTACATATACACATATCAATTTTACAGAGAAATAAAGCCCTCTAAATTATATAACCATTTGACATAAGAATATTCAGAATCTGAAGTTTCAATAAGTACTACAATACTCTGTGTTTATTTTATATGATTCATTAAGTATTAATAATAAAAATTCTAAGCCTATCATTCAGAATTTATACAGCATTACGTATTATAAATACTAGTCATTATTACTCATGTGTAGCTTAATGAAAGCTAGAATGAAAATTTTATTTTTGTAATCTATTAAATAAGATTAAAAATAATTTAAGTCAGAGTCTCACTCTGTTGCCTGCGCTAGAGTGCCGTGGCGTCAACCGAGCTCACAACAACCTCAAACTCCTGAGCTCAAGAAATCCTCTTGCCTCAGCCTCCCCGAGTAGCTGGGACTACAGGCATGTGCCACCATGCCCGGCTAATGTTTTTTTCTATATATTTTTAGTTGGCCGATCAATTTCTTTCTATTTTTAGTAGAGACAGGGTCTCGTTCTTGCTCAGGCTGGTTTTGAACTCCTGACCTTAAGCGATCCACCCACCTCAGCCTCCCAGAGTGCTAGGATTACAGGCATGAGTAATGATGCCTGGCCTAAGATTACATTTTTAAAAGCAGAATGTAAAACTGTGTACTACTTGATTCTCATTTTGTTAAAAGGTCTTTACATGTGCCTCTTCATGTAGACAGAAAACATGTCTGAAAGGAAAATATTAATATCAACTTTGGTTGTCACTGACCATTGGAAATAGTTTTCTTCTTTTAGTGTTTCTATATTTTCTAAATGTTATACTGTAAGCATATGTTAGTTTTGATTCAAAAGAATGGTGCTTTTATTTTTTATTTATTTTTTGAGACAGAGTCTCACTTTGTTGCCCAGGCTAGAGTGAGTGCTGTGGCGTCAGCCTAGCTCACAGCAACCTCAAACTCCTGGACTCAAGCAATCCTCCTGCTTCAGCCTCCCAAGTAGCTGGGACTACAGGCATATGCCACTATGCCCTGCTAATTTTTTCCATATATGTATTAGTTGGCCAATTAATTTCTTTCTATTTATAGTAGAGACGGGGTCTTGCTCTTGCTCGTTTCGAACTCCTGACCTCGAGCAATCTGCCCGCCTCGGGCTCCCAGAGTGCTAGGATTACAGGCGTGAGCCACCCCGCCCGGCCAGAATAGTGCTTTTAAAAATAAAAACATCCCCACATTCCCTTGCCAAAAACCCAAGGTAAAAAGCATCTCTTGGCTGGGCGCAGTGGCTCATGCCTGTAATCCTAGCACTCTGGGAGGCCGAGGCGGGCGGATTGCTTGAGTTTAGGAGTTCAAGACCAGCCTGAGCAAGATCGAGATGCCGTCTCTACTATAAATAGAAAGAAATTAGCCAAACAACTAAAAATAGAAAAAATTAACTGGGCACTGTGTCCACAGTGTTGTTTGCCTGTAGTCCCAGCTACCTGGGAGGCTGAGGCAGGAGGATCACTTGAGCCCAGGAGTGATTGGCCAACTAATATATATAGAAAAAAGTAGCCGGGCATGGTGGCACATGCCTGTAGTCCCAGCTACTCGGGAGGCTGAGGCAGCAGGATTGCTTGAGCCCAGGAGTTTGAGGTTGCTGTGACCTAGGCTGACGCCAGGGCACTCACTCTAGCCTGGGCAACAAAGTGAGACTCTGTCTCAAAAAAAAAAAAGACTAAATAACTAATTACTGATTATGAAAACACACAGTTAATTCACAAAAAGAGCTGGATTAATCTTTACCAAGTGAATATGCAAATATATTAATTTTATTATTTTAATATGCATTTCTTTTTTTACTAATGAAGAAATACACTCACACATTTATCTATCTACTTATTTATTGGCAATCTATATTTCTTTTATAATTTCTCTGCTCAGGCTTTTTTGATTGGTTAGGATGTCTATAAGTATTCTTTATGTTGTAAAATTAGCCCATCACCTATAAGAATGGTTGTTTAATGGTTTTCCTATTTAGATTGGCCATTTATGTTGTAATTTTCTGAATTCAAAGCCTCTTATGATGACTAAATAGCACCCCCTTTTTCTACAATATCAGGGGGTAAAATAGGCCTTCCTCATCTTGGAAATCATGTGGCTCACGCCTGTAATCCTAACACACTGGGAGGCCGAGGTGGGAGGATCACTTGAGCTCAGGAGTAAAATTAGGTGGGCGTGGTGGCAGTACAGGTCTGTAGTCCCAGTTACTTGGGAGGCTGAGGTGGGACAATTGCATAAGCCCAGGAGTTTGAGGTTGCAGTGGCTACTATGACGCCAATGCACTCTACCCAGGGTGACAGAGTGAGACTCTGCCTCGATAAAGTAAAAATAAATAAATGTTTTTTTACAAAAAGAAAAAAAAATTAAAAGAAAATCCTGTGCCAAAGGCTCTGAAAGAAAAGTGCCCTACTTCAGTATACAACAGCAAATATTTCCTCTAAACCCTGAACTGTCCAGGACAGAAGTCATGTGACTTTAATAAATTACAGTTCCAACTATAACAAATGATGTGTAATAATTAACTGCCTTTTCTGTTTCTAGTTTTTTTTTTTTGAGAGAGAGTCTCGCTTTGTTGCCCAGGCTAGAGTAAGTGCCCTGGCGTCAGCCTAGCTCACAGCAACCTCAAACTCCTGGGCTCAAGCAATCCTGCTGCCTCAGCCTCCCGAGTAGCTGGGACTACAGGCATGTGCCACCATGCCTGGCTACTTTTTTCTATATATATTAGTTGGCCAATTAATTTCTTTCTATTTATAGTAGAGACGGGGTCTCGCTCTTGCTCAGGCTGGTTTCGAACTCCTGACCTCGAGCGATCTGCCTGCCTCGGCCTCCCAGAGTGCTAGGATTACAGACGTGAGCCACAGGTGCCCGGCCTGTTTCTAGTTTTTTAAGGTTTGTCTTTTAGCTTCCTGTGCTTCTTCTCATAGACATTGCACAACTAAGCAGTGATATGAGAAATTCTTAGGGTTTATTTCCAAACAGGTTCTGGCAAGTTTCTGAATTTCTGACTCAAGAGCTCCTTTTACTTTATACCAGGAGTCAAAGTAAACAACTTATTTCTATAGAATTGGCTATGCTTGCTAAGACTTGAACATTAAAAAACAAAAACAATACAACACTAATGAATAAGTAAGTATGAAAATCTGGCTGAATATATACCTTTTAGACTATCTAAAATGAAGCATACTTGATAAGACATAACTAGATAAGACAGTTAAACACATTCCACCCCTCTTTCCCCATGAACACAACTATAAAACCTGGGCAGAAAGCAGACAGTAGTCATTAGAGGACAATAAGTAAAAAGAAGTAGGTGGGTTGGGGAATTAGAAGTACACTGAAGCAGCAATGACCTGACCACTTTTTTCCTCCAGTACCACCTTCCTCCTCCTCCAGAACTCAACACAGCTCAAGGAGGCATTAGCAAGACAATGGGAGCTCCAGAAGTCCTCCAGTTCTAGCTGGAGGAGCAGGAAGGGGTCTCCTAACAACCAAAGTAAGTGTAAAAATACAGTTTTTCTTTCTTTTTTCATTCCCTCCCTCCCTCCCTTTTCTTTCTTTTCTGTCCTTCCTTTCTTTCCTTTCCTTGCTTTCTTCCCTTCTTCCTTCTTTTTCTGTTTCCCTTCTGTTTCTTTCTTCCCTCCTTTCTTTCTCTCATCTAACTTTCCTTCTTTCCTCTTTCTCCCTTTCTTCCCTTTTTTCTCCTTCCTTACTTTCTTTTTCTTCCTCCCTCTCTTTCTTTCTTCCCCTTTTTCTCCATCCTCTCATGCCCAGCCCCCAAACAATCTTGTGGGGATGCCAGGAGCCTAAAGTTCAGAGAGAGGAGAACCTTCCTCTCTGACTGGAAAAGTGGTAGTCCCCAGAGAGCAAGGCCAATAGCCCCTGCTTTATTTCTCTCTCTGTCCTCCAACTTCTTGGCCCTGATGCTAAGAGAATAAAGCCCAGAGGAAAGGAAAGGAAAGTTCAGAGAAAGCAAAAAGGCCCAGGAAGATCACAGATAGGTAGAAGCGCACGAATGTAACCTCTTGAAGCTGTTCATGAACTAGTGGGCCCATACCCTAAGGTGAGCATGTGTGGATGACCCTCAGCATCACACAACTGCATTAGAGGTGGAACACCACTATCTCAGGCCCACTGATGACTGAGCGACACACACACACACAGGACAGACCTGAGTAACACTGTAAAAGCTCTGAAAACTGAACTGATAATGTAACCACTGCCCCATGAGGCTTGCTGGAACTTGTGACCTAACCTAACCAGATTGACTGTCCAATAAAACAAAAATATTAACATTTTCCATAGAATTTAAACAAGACCAGAGTCCATAACATAATAGTCAAAATGTTAAAGATATAATCCAAAATTACTTGGAATAAATATAAAAATCTTGATTTTCATGGAAAAAGACTCAAACACCAATGCCCAGATGACATATACACTGGACTTCCAATAGCCTTTAAAGCAGCTATTATGGAAATGCTCCAAGAAGGGCAAATACTCATGAAATGAAAATTTTAAAAGTCTCAGAGAGAAAAAGAAAAAAAAATGCACAGCAGAACCACATGGAAATCTTAGAACTAAAAAAATATAACAACAAAAAATTCAATGAATGGGCTCAGTAGCAGAAAGCAAATGACAGGAGGAGTCAGTGAACTTGAAGACAAATTCAAAAGAAATTTTCCAAACCAAACAATAGTGAGAAAAAGTTTGGAAAATAAATGAACAGAACCTCAGAGACCTGTGGAACCATAATAAGGGTTATTTGTGTCATCAGTCTCAGAAGAGAATAAACAATGTGGTACAGAAAGAGTATTTGAAGAAATCATGGTTGAAAACTTCCCAAATTTGGTTAAACACATAAATCTAGAGACTTGCTGAGTGAACTCCAAACAGGATAAACAAAGAAATCTGCATACAGGCACACAATTAAAATGCTGAAAATTAAAGAAAAGGAAAAAGAAAATCTCAAAAGTAGCCAGGAAAAAACAATGCATTACTTATAGGGAAACAACAATTCTAATGACTATTCTCATCAGAAATCATGGATGCTAGAAGAAAATAGATCATTTTTAAAATGCTGAAAAAAGGCTGGGCGCGGTGGCTCACGCCTGTAATCCTAGCACTCTGGGAGGTCGAGGCGGGCGGATTGCTCGAGGTCAGGAGTTCAAGACCAGCCTGAGCAAGAACGAGACCCCATCTCTACTATAAATAGAAAGAAATTAATTGGCCAACTAATATATATATAGAAAAAATTAGCCGGGCATGGTGGTGCAGGCCTGTAGTCCCAGCTACTTGGGAGGCTGAGGCAGTAGGATTGCTTGAGCCCAGGAGTTTGAGGTTGCTGTGAGCCAGGCTGATGCCACGGCACTCACTCTAGCCTGGGCAACAAAACGAGATTCTGTCTCAAAAAAAAAAAAATTTTTTTAAAAAATAAATAAAATGCTGCAAAAAAAGAACCATGACAACAGAATTCTATGCTCACTAACAATATCCTTTAATATAAAGGTGAAATAAAAACAACCTAAGATGAAGGTAAAGTAAGGAAAATAGAGACCAGCAGACTTGCTGTAAAAGAATGACCAAATGAAGTTGTACAGACAATAATACTAGAAGGAAACAGAACATCAAGAATGAAGTGAGACCAACAAAAATGGTAAATAATCTAGGTAAATATGTTAATAACACATGGTTGAAAGCAAAAATTATAACTCTTTTGCTGAGCTTGCTTTTTTAAATTGATACATAATTGAACATATTCTTGGAGTACATATAATATTTTGATACATTCATAAGTATCTTTTCATATATCTTTCCTTTATACTGGGACCACAGAATTGAGGACTGAGTTTGAGAGGAATGTGTTGATCCAGGCCAAACTCTGGACTGAAATCCCCATACTAACCCATTACCTTCTGACTCATACCAGCTGTATGACCCCTGCCCCAGTTCTCCATCTGCAAAAGGGGACAACAGGAGGGCCCAGCTCATAAAGCTGGTGTTTAGATTAAATGAAATAAGGCAGATGGTGCTGTATCATCCTCTACATATCACTGCCCAAGCAGTGGGAAAACTCATACATGCTTAAAAGCACAAAAAAGGTGACATAGTTTAGAGATGGTGCTTTCTCTTTTACACATAAAAATACAAAAACTCAGACAAATAATTTCCTAAAATTACTAGGGAAAAAAACTCAGGTAACATAATCCTGAGTCCAGAGTGCCATCTAACCAATTACACAAGTATTTTGAAAAGGAAAGGCAAGAAATCTAGAAGTAAATTCTAGATTACAAGAAAAGGTAGAATTCCATTTAGCAATAAAATCTAAAAACAAACAAACACCAAAAAACCAAAAAGAACAAAAGTAGCATATGATCCAAACAAGAGTCACAAAGTGAGTTTAATAAAGCAAAGAAATGGAACTGGCAAGTAAATACTTACATGCAGACAAAATACATATGGTGAAAAAAAAAAGGATAAAGACAATTAAGAACCAAGTCTATTTAAAGTGGGGGCAGGGGAATGTTTGCCAGTGTGGATTTATGTCTTGGCTCTTTGGCTTTTTAAGTATTGATGACAACTTGTCATCACCATACACACCTTTCCACATCAATGTTCTCCATATGCCAATGTCAGATTACAGATGGTCATCACTTATATTAACACTTCCACTCAAATGTTCACTAAGCAAAGTTAAAACTCCGTATAACTTTAGAGTTTGTATCCATTGAAAAGGTATTTGATCTTACTGGTAATCAAATAAATGCAAATTAAGACATTTTGTTTACCTATAAAAACTAGCACAGAGTTTTTAAAAACTTCAATGCTGGTGGGGTAAGATAAATACTCTCATTCACTACTGATGTTAAGCATAAACTGATATAACCCTTTTGAAAAAGGAATTTTGTATACCAATAAAAACATGTAGATAATGTGCCCCAGAAATTCCATGTCCTTAGGATTTTACCCTAAGGAAATAGAAAAATTAAAGAAACTCTAAGCATAAAGACATCACTGAGTTTTATAATAGTGAAATACTGAAAACAACTCAAATGTCCAACATCAAGAAATTACAGGAAGTAGATTACAATATGCTCATTGAATCAAATATTGTATAGCCATAGAAATATTTTTAAAAATTTTTTTTGTAGAGACAGGGTCTCGGTATGTTGTCCAGGTTGATATCAAACTCCTGGCCTCAAGTGATCCTCCTGCCTTGGCCTCCTATAATCCCTAAGTGCTGGGATTATAGGTGTGAGCCACAGCATCTGACCTATATTTCCTAAGAATTCATAATATGGAAAAATGTTCACACCAAACTAAAGGTTAAGAAAGGACACATACTGATTATACCTTTTAACCATGTTATTAATAAAAAAGCATACAGAAATAAATACCAGCCGGGCGCGGTGGCTCACGCCTGTAATCCTAGCTCTCTGGGAGGCCGAGGCGGGTGGATTGCTCGAGGTCGGGAGTTCGAAACCAGCCTGAGCAAGAGCGAGACCCCGTCTCTACTATAAATGAAGAAATTTAATTGCCAACTGATATATATAAAAAAATTACCGGGCATGGGTGCGCATGCCTGTAGTCCCAGCTACTTGGGGCTGAGACAGAAGGATTGCTGAGCCCAGGAGTTTGAGGTTGCTGTGAGCTAGGCTGACGCCATGGCACTCACTCTAGCCTAGGCAACAAAGCGAGACTCTGTCTCAAAAAAAAAAAAAGAAATAATTACCAGAAGGAAATAGAGTAGATTCCAATATATGGAAAGTTAGCTTTTATAATTCCTATTATTTGAGAATGACCTTAAAGGTCTACGACTTGTAATAATTTGTACCTTTTTTAAGGCGTGACTTTGAAACATGTGCCAGGTGGCTGCAATTCAGCAGTAAGCCACTTAGCGAGAGAGTGAGCTAGGGGAGGAAAGGCTGGGATGATTGGGCCTGTGTCTTTTCTGTACAACCTCCCTGTCCCCTCTTCCCAAGGAAAGGGTAGCGCCACTGCAGGAGAGACGGTGAGAGAATGGATGGTTACTAATTTAGGCAAGGTATGGCCAATCACCAGTGAGTTTAATACCCACATCTGAAGGTGGCTTTGTTGTTTTGTATTCAAATCTCATTTTTTTAGTTGTACCATATTTTATAGGGACTATTATACCCTATAGGGCTACCTGTGAATGAGGGGATTCTCAAAGGTTAAGGGGTATACCCCTTTGGAATGTCATAATATGTTATAAATTGAAATATTAAAATCACTTAGATTGTGGTATTATGTGAAAATATTTGTTTTCCATTTATGACTTTTTTGTATTTTTATTATTTAATTTATATATGTATATGTATATATTTTTGGGGTTTTTTGGTGTTTTTTTTTTTTGAGACAGAGTCTCACTCTGTTGCCCGGGGTAGAGTGCTATGGTGTCAGCCTAGCTCACAGAAACCTCAAATTCCTGGGCTCAAGCAATCCTTCTGCCTCAGCCTCCTGAGTAGCTGGGACTACAGGTATCCACCACCATGCCCAGATAATTTTTTCTCTATATATTTTTAGTTGTCTGGCTAATTTCTTTCTATTTTTAGTAGAAATGGGATCTCGCTCTTGCTCAGGCTGGTCTCGAACTCCTGACCTCCAGCAATCCTCCCTCCTTGGCCTCCCAGAGTGTTAGGATTACAGGTGTGAGCCACCGTGCCCGATCGGTTATATATATATATATATTTTGAGACAGGGTCTCAATATGTTGCCCATGCTGGTCTCGAACTCCTGGGCTCAAGCAATTCTCTCGCCTCAGCCTCCTGAGTAGCTAGGATTACAGGCATATGCCATTGCACCCCGTTTCCTTTTCATATTTTTAAAATGTTCCTCTATGTGGGGTAAGAAAACTAAAAATTAACTCAGCTCTAGAATATAAGACCTTTTTCTTCACTAGATCAAGCAAGGTATGTGACAAGAAAACCCAATCATAACGAGAATAAGGTGGAAAGCAAAGCTCTGCATCTCATGCTCACCTTATAGCACCTATATTTATATAGAACCACCAGGAGGATAGTCATGACAACAATGACACTGATCATGATGGCAGCATTCAGAACTGAGTGCAGGGCTCTCTGGCCCACAGTCTCGGTGTCTTCTGTGAATGGGGTATAGATTCTACAATAAAACAAAACACAAAAGTCCTAGGTAAGCATTGATCCCAAACCACATACTCCCTCCAACACAAGAATTTTGTCTTTCTTGATTTAATTAACATCTTATAAGTCACTTGGTTGTATCTCACCAATCTAGCTAAGAATTTTTAACCTAAGAAAGATAGCTATGTTCTAAAATCACTGCTTCAGAATAAAATACCTAATACACATAGGAGAAGGACTTATGTGTGAGCCAGACACTGGCTCCATCTAGTGGATGCTTTACATTGAAATAATTACTTCATCAAATGTACGTTCACAGTTTATTATTAATTTGTTAAAGTAGGCTGACAAGAGGTTATCAGAGGAAGGTGATAAGGCTTATAATTATTGTCTTTCATCTGCAGAGTGATTACAACTGGAGTTGTCTTTAGATAATGTCTTGAGATAATTTTTAGTTGGCCAATTAATTTCTTTCTATTTATAGTAGAGACGGGGTCTCGCTCTTGCTCAGGCTGGTTTTGAACTCCTGACCTTGAGCAATCTGCCTGCCTTGGCCTCCCAGAGTGCTAGGATTACAGGCGTGAACCACCAGGCCCAGCCAGTTGTTTTGATTTTCTGTAACAGGGTCAGCAAACTTTCTGTAAAGGATCACACAGTAAATATGTTAAGCTTTGTAGGTTGTATGGTCTCTGCTGCAACCACTCAACTGTGCCATAGTAGCATGAAAGCAGCCATAGACGATGTATAAACGAATGGGCAAGGTAGTGTTCCAATGAAAATTTATCCACAAAAACAGGTAGCAGGCAGATCTGGCCTGTGGGCTGTAGCTTGTCAACCTCTATTTTGTAATATATTGCCAAACCTAACCCTAACTTATACAGATAATGTTACTATTCCCCATTTTCTTTGGTTACTATCTGTAACCCTTGCCCATCACTCACTGTTTTAGCCCTTCTCTCAAAGATTAAAATCTTGGCTTTCAGAACACCACTCAGTTTTTCAGACACTATAATTTTAAATTCTAAAACTTACTCAAAACTCTTCTTGGGCCCCATGAGAGTATTAGGAACAGAACTAGATGACATCTGGATGGAAGCATTTTTCTTAGAGGTCAAGGGCTGACAATAGCAGCACTAGGGAATCCATATGACAGCTCCCGGAGAGTCTAGAGACTGCCAACTTTGCGTGAGTTATTCATTCTTTCAGTTAAAAAATATTTTTGCCAAGTATTTATTACATACCTAGCCCTAGAGACAAAGTATCCTCATAGGCCTGACAATAAAGAAGTATTTAAATAATGTAAATAAATACATATTTGTAAATTGTGACAAATGAGAAAGAACAAGTTGCTAGGAGAAAGAATAACATGAAGGACTTAAGTCTGTTAGGAGAATCAGGGAAGTTATCTTTGAGGGTTTAACAACTAGGCCAAGATGGGCAAGATGACAGGAATTTAGTCTATCAAAGTTAGAAAAGGAAAGAACATTCCAAGGAGAACAACAGCAACAGGACCACTGGCTCCTGAGGTGGGAAAGATTGCGATTTTTCTTTTCTTTTTTTTTGAGACAGGGTCTTGCTGTGTTGCCCAGGCTGGTCTTGAACTCCTGGGCTCAAGCGATCCTCACACCTCAGCTGGGAATACAGGCTCACCAAATAGCTGGGCGTATAGGCATGTGCCACTGTATATGGCTAAGCTTACTCTTCACGTGCTCAATTCCATATAAATCCAGCACTATCCAGTGATGCCATATAGGAAACATTTCTACAGTGTTCTTTTCCTCTATTTATAACCACTCGCTCTCTCAACTGCTACTGGCCATCAGAGAAGGTGAACTCTCTAGCTGTCACGCCCCTTCAGCACAGAGGCCTTCAAGGTGATGATGATGTGCTGTGAGGAAAAGCCATCTTGGCCTTAAGAATAACAAAATATGACACTCATACGTACAGCTGCCCATCCTTCCGGGTATAAAAGCTGACCGATTTGATGGTAGCCACAACCACCACCATGCAGAGAGTCACAGGGACAAAGAGCATGATCACATGCTTGGCGCCGTATTTCAATGTCAGCTCCTCATCTTCTTCCTCATCTCGCTCCACCACAGGCCCAGAGTTACCCTGGGGTCGTCCATTAGATAATGGCTCAGGGTTGCCAAGTCTCCGCCTGTCCCCATGGTCCTGCTGTTCTCTATTGTCATTCTAAAAGCACAAGAAAAACTTTCTCAGTAAATCAGACTCTCAGCAGAATCAAGGTATTCTGTATCAAAAGTAGAATATGTAACAGGTAGAAGTGGGATTAACAATAAGCTTGTCATTACTTGAGTTCTAAAACTTGAGAGAAGAAAGAACCAATTTACAGGAAGTGTGCAATTTAAAAGTCTAGACTATTTACCATTGTTCCCTGAAGGCACTCATGCCCTCCCTTTTATCTGGGCCTCCTTTACTTCACTCTCCCCCTCCATTCTCAACCTAATACAACAGTTGTACTCATCCTTTGAAATCTGACTAAAATACTGACACCTGCATGAAACCTTCTTTATTTGCTATAGCTGCAAGCAGAGTGATCGTACTTTTTTCAAATTCATTTAGCACTTTCTAACTGTGGTTTCATACCAGTTATAAAGGAACTTTCTTACCTTCATTACTAATAGGACTTTAAAATCTTTGTAGTGATGTTCAAGGGATCTCTCTATTATTTTTTACAATTGCATGTAAAGCTACAATTATTTCAAAAATTTATGCAATTAAAAAAAAATCTTCACAGAGAGAAACCAGGCCTTAAACAATTGTGATGGCCCATATGTCTACCTTCCCCACCCCCCAACCAGGCCCTGTACAAAGAAAGGGAACAATAAATACTTGATGAATGAATGAATGAAATTAGAACCTTTGTTAGATTCCACTTTCCTCAGAACTTTAATCCAGACACTATTTTGTTACTTTTATCCTTGTCTTGGGTTTATCTTTTCCTATTCTTCAACTTCTTTTATTGGTATCACTGTTCGTATCTTCCAATTCAGTTTTTATAAAGGGTAGGATGAATAATAACAACAATAAAAATAACAGGTGACCAAAAAACCAGCACTCCTCCTCCTCTCAGATATATAAATAGGAGATGAAAGCAGACTGACAGTCACTGTTGCTGGCCACATGAAATTAGCTTAAGTTAGGGTTCTGGTAGGAAGATCATTTGAGAACAAGCCACTATGTACTACTATAGAGTATTACTAGTATTCATTAAAAATACATTCTACATTTGTAATTGCTTAGAATGATTACAATGCACCAGGGACTGTGATATGTGCTTTACATTTAATTCGTTGACTGCCATGTGAATTGTATTTAACTCAGGCTAGTTTTGACCCTGGGGGCCTCATGAAGCAAAACCCTGCAGTTGGTTCTTGAAAATCTTACTTATGGATTAATGTTGACAATTTAATTCTAAAAACATGGATTGTGTTGCATATAACTCACACAAAGAAAACAATACAAAATAACACATTAGAAAGGATCCTTTTGTTTTAAGAAAACACCATAGTCCCAGGGAAAAATTTTTTTTCTAATGTGGCAATGTGTCAATTCTCACAGTCATCCATCCCATCATCACCACTTTGCAGATGAGGAAACAGCCACAGCTAGTGAGTGTTACAGAAAGAGTTTGAACCCAGGTCAGCCTGACTCCAGAAATCAGGTTCTTAACCACCTCTAAATTTGCTATACACAAGACAAAATGGGAGCTCTGCAGACTCAGTGTGGGCTGAGGGTTCTCTTTCATTTTACTTTCAATATATTCATCCCACAAGTAATTATCAAAATTTTACTATATTCCAGGTATTCTGTTGTGGCAATACTGAAATTCCGACCTGGGTTCAAACCCAGGCATTGATAGGAATAGGGAACATAAGATAAGCAGGCTGGAAGAGAGTAGAAATATTTTGCTTAGAGATATAGGTGAATTTGGAGTACCTACAACCAGGTAGAAAAGTCCAAAGACAGTTAGCAATACCAATTTCAAGCTCAGAAGAGAATGGAGGAAGTCATTAGTCTCTATAGCCTTATAAATGATAAAATGTCAAGGAGAATATAGATAAAAATATGAACAGCATAGACTTATTGGTCATTAATGTAATATAAATAGTTGTGGAAGGAAAAATACAAAGTGAGAAGATGACCAGGAGAGAAATGTAAATAACCAACTAAGCTTAAGCAGCAGGTGATGAGAGAAAATGAGCAAGACATTAAAGGAATAGGGGAGAGGAAAAAAAACCCAGAAATCTATATAACACAGAAGCCAAAAGCAGAGCACAATTTAAGAAGGTGTCATTAACAGTCAGTCAACAGGCAGGCAGGATAAGAGGTAAAAAGACACTGAATTTGGCAGTGGGAAGATCGCCAAGCATTTTACAAAACTAAAACAGTGAAGAGGGAAGTCAGATCATAAATCAGAATGGACAGGAAAAGGAATGTAAATTGAGAAAGTAAAGGCAATCATTCTTTGGAGCAAAAAACAAAAAAAAAGGTTTAAAGGTTTGACAACAAAGAGGTATTCAAACTTTTTCAAGTTATTTTAGAGCTGTCAGAGACTTGAACATACTTGTCAGGTCTAAGTGTAGACTTAAGATTTAGTGGAAGAGATTGAACATACAAAACAGGGATGATAACTAATGGAATATGGATAGTAGGGACTAAAAGGAGTATGCTACAGTTTGAATGTGTCCCTCAAAAGTTCATGTGCTGGAAACTTGGTTGCCACTGTCGTGGTATTAAATGGTGGGGCCCTTGGGAGGTGGAGCCCTCACCAATGGATTTCAGGTTGAGTATCCCTTATCTGAAATGTTTGGTACCAGAAGTGTTTCAGACATTGGATTTTGGAATATTTGTATTATCCTTATTGGCTGAGGATACTGAATCCAAAAATCCAAAATCCTCCAAGGAGTATTTCTTTTGAGCATCATATTGGTGCTCAAAAAGTTTCCAATTTGGGAGCACTGGGATTTCACACTTGGGGATTAGGAATATTCAACCTGTAATGCCATATTGCAGGAATGGGTTAGCTATCATGGGAGTGGCTTTGTTATAAAAACAAGCTCTCTCCTGCATGTGCTCCCTTGCCTGTCTGTCTACAAACCAGGGGGGTGACTTTCACCAGATGCTGGTGCCATACCCTTTGACTTCTCAGCCTTGAGAACTGTAAGCCAAATAAACCTCTTTTCTTTATAAATTACCCAGTCTGTGGTGCCCTGTTATAGCAACACGAAACAGACAGAGGGGACAAGAGAGAGAGGAATTGGCCTTATAAAGGCATTAGTGTCCTCTTCCTCAGTCTGGAGATAAAAAGTAACTGTTGGACCTCACAGAGAAAATATTTGACAATCCAAACCCTATATAGAATAGAAAGGCAACTATTCCAAAGCATAAAAGGTAGAAATATACACACTACCCATCAAGAAAGATAATTTTTGCTGAACCCAAGTCATTAGAGTGGTCAAAGTCCAGTAGGATGGAAACAGTTATGAGGAAAGTGAGGTCTGGAAGACAGGGACATGGTGTGACAGATAGCAGAGGAGCAGGGGAATTGACAGAATTCATACTATTATTTTCCCAGAGAAGGGGGTAACTTAGCCATCTGCTAAGAATGTTATGTCTGCAATTTAATGTTCAACTATACAGTTCTGACCAACTTGATGGACTGATTAATGGTCAATATGAACTAAAAACCATGGAACAATAGCTATCTTTAGATAGTATTAGATAATTTACAAAGTACTGTCACATTATTTCATTTATTCTTTTTATATCTTGAGAGGTTTTGGTAGACGAACACAAAAGTAACTTGTCTAAAATCTAACAACCAGAAAGCAGTAGAGGCAGGAATCAAATTCTTGTTTCAAAACTTGTGTTCTTTCTACGGCATCACAGCCATCCTATTAGGCCATATGAACAGTTTAATTAGGTAAATCTAGCATGGAAGAGTCAATCATATGCTCATTCAGTCCTCAACTGGCTATTCTGGTTTATAATGAACATTAGCCAACCCAACCCTGCCCTGCCCCTGAGGCTGATAATGGATACTAGAGCACTGTTTAACAGTAACACATACACACACACATACACACACTCTCTCTCTCCCCTTCTTTCTCTCTCTCACACCCACAAACCCTTTCTCTTTGTGGTACTTTGGATACTATTTTAAAAACTATGTTTTTGGGTGTTGTGGCGTATACCTACAGTTTCAGCTACTTTGGAGGCTGAGGCAGGAGGATCACTTGAACCCAGGAGTTTGAGGTTACAGTGAACTACAATGATACCACTGCACTTTAGCCAGGGTGACAAAGTGAGACCCTATCTCAAAAATATATATATATTCTCATTCCCCCTTTTCACACAAATATTAGTACAGTAAATGTACTGCACTGCACTTTGCTTTCTTCACTTAACTATGTATCTTAAAGTTTTTTATATATCCATACATAAAGAAAATCCTCATTCTTTAAAAAAATAAAATTATTTTCCCTAGACAACACAGCAAGACCCCATTTCTATAAAAAATAAAATTAGCCTTGAGTGGTGGCATGAGCCTGTAGTCCCAACTACTCAGGAAGCTGAGGCAGGAGAATAGCTTGAGCCCAGGAGTCTGAGACTGCAGTGAGCTATGATGATGCTACTGTACTCCAGCCTGGGTGACAAAGCAAGACCCTGCCTTAAAAAAAAAAAAATTCTTTTAACCAGCTACATACTCAGTTTATAAATGTATCACAATTTTTTTTTTTTTTTTGGAGACAGAGTCTTGCTTTGTTGCCCAGGCTAGAGTGAGTGCCGTGGCATCACCCTAGCTCACAGCAACCTCAAACTCCTGGGCTCAAGCGATCCTCCTGCCTCAGCCTCCCGAGTAGCTGGGAGTACAGGCATGCGCCACCATGCCGGGCTAATTTTTTCTATATATATGTTAGTTGGCCAATTAATTTCTTTCTATTTATAGTAGAGACGGGGTCTCGCTCTTGCTCAGGCTGGTTTCGAACTCCTGACCTCGAGCAATCTGCCCGCCTCGGCCTCCCAGAGTGCTAAGATTACAGGCATGAGCCACCACGCCCAGCCTAATGTATCACAATTTATTTAGCCAATCCCCTAATGATGGATATTTAACTTGTTTCCAATTTTTTGCCATTATAAACAATGCTGCAATGAATGCACCCTGTAAG